TTGTTTGTTTGTTATTTCAGTAACTGGCTACAGATGGTGTTGGCGTTCTAGCGGGGACTTTTTTTCTGCTTCTGTTGTTTTGCTATATTCTATTGAAAGAGAGGTGTGTTTTGAAGAGGTATCAAACCTGTAATGGAGAAGTTCTGGAGTGTTGTGTTCTCTCTTGATACGCCACTGTCCTATTCATTTATTTATTTTTTCCCCAGTCAAAACTTTTGACCTTTTTTCTCAAAAATTGAGAAATTTTTTTATGCCAAAAGTTTTTTATGGCCAAATTTCAGCGCATCCCTCGTTTTCTCTGTTTTGGAGGTTCAGTGCTTCTATATGAAGCCCTTCAGAGGTCAAAGCAGCAGCAGCTCACAACATTTTGCTGATAAGCGCTAGTGTGACTGGACATTAAAGTGGAATTTGTTTCCATGCCTTAGAGCTAGGATGTCAGTAGATTCCTTCTGGTCTACACCTCCACATACTTCAGCTTTCCTCCTCAATAAACATGCACGATTCCGTTCATCCTAGGCCTTCATGAGTTGAACTCAGGCTTTCGTGAGTGTCAGAATGGCCCAGAAGGAGCCCAGTTTGACACTCCTGAGAGATTTAAATACCACCCACTGAACCCTGTGCTCTGCTTTCTGAAATATCTTGCCATGACGTCTGTAGAACAGTGAAACGTTTGGCCAGTTCTTAGCTGCTTTTTCCAGTAGTTTAACAATATAACCGACGTTTTTATGTGGAAGAGGATTATGTGGTAGAGGCAATGCCTGAAGTAGCACTTGGACTGCCACATAACTCTAATGACTGTGCTATTTGGGGGTATGCTTTGGGAACTCAAACCCTCTATGACTGTTCTTAGAAACGGATGGGTAGGGCCAGTGCCTGCCTGCATGCTCTGGTACCATAATAGCAATATGCAGTCTCTGATGAATTCATTTAGCATGTACAATGGACCTTTTATTTTTGGTATCAACAAAGACGACTTTGAAGGGAGCAATTTTAGTCTGACTTTGTGAAGTGGTTGAGCTAAATTCAGAATGAGCCGCGACTTTACCCTGTCAACACAAACCTTCAGCAAGGTTTTGTACTAGTGTCCTCCAGCACTTCATCTGCTTCTGAGCTCATAGCTGCAAGAAGCAGGCAGAATAATGTCACATTGGTGAAGAATTTGGGACATTTAGACATTCCCCTTAGTGTCTGTGTTCGTAATATTGGGTTTAGTCTCAGTGTTGTGCAATGCTCACTGATACTGCATTCAGTCTCTGTGTCCAGCACTGCTGTGTGATCATGTATTTAGTCCATATATCCTGCTGTTTAGCGATGGCTTTAGTCAGAGGATCCTCCAGCGTTGTTGGGTTACGTTCCTGTATCCCTCATTGTTGTTAGATGTTGGATTTAGTGCCTGCATCATGCATTGCTGCTTAGTGATGATGTTTTAGTGTTTTTGGGTGTTGGATTTAGTGCCTGTGTCCTGCAGTGCTGTTTGGTGATGGGTTTAGGGATCCCTCCCTTGGTTGGTTTAAGTCCCTCTCCGGCAGGATCAGTTGGTGTTTGCTTTAAGCTCCAGTTACTGAACACCCTGCAGTGCCGGTTGGTTTTGGGTCGAGTTCTCAGAGTCCTGCCATCTGAGCTGGGAGCAGAGTTTAGGCAGGTTTAATCCCTGGTTTAATCCCTGAGAGCTGCACTGCAAATCTGCATGTCAGACCCTCTGTCTGTTTTGTCCCTGTTCCATTCTTACTCGAGTGGCTGTTGGCTGCTAAGCCCTGCTGTCATCACAGTACAGAATAGCTCCTGATTCGAACCAGGCTTTCGGGAGAACCATGGTCAGAAATAGAGCGAGAGTCGGGGCTCTACTTGCAGGCTGCCTTTGATTTACTTTAATTTAGTTTATTAGTCTGTTCTAAATTTGTTCTTGGTTGCCAGTGAGGATGGGACAGTTACCACTGTTAATCATATACTATGCTTTAAAACCCAATTATTGTATTTCAAATATTTCTTTCGACAGTATATGAGGAAGTAAACTGCCTGCTCAACAGTCTGTTTTTAATGTTTTATTTATATATATATTTATATGTGTGTGTGTGTGTGTGTGTGTGTGTGTATGTATATATATATATATATACACTTACATTATTTACAGTCATATGCCCTAGTCAAATGTTTTGTTAATTTTATGGTGAAAACAAGTTAACATATTGTGTACATAGAATACACTTCTGCACATTTTATTGCACAATTACTGTTTATTTGCTGAATTTAATATATTGGAAAAACTAAAAAGAAAACGTGCCCTGTGCAGTGTTTTGTCAACCTTAATATGCCCCAATATATTAACATCAGCAAATAAAAAAAGTATAGAAATTGACTTTTGGGAAATTCCATGTTTAGGTTTTTTCTCATTTTAACTTGAAAAATCAGCAACATGTGTAATTTGACCAGTAAATGTTAAAACTGGAAGCTGTGATTTGTACCTGTTGCTGATGTCATGATAGGAGATTTTCAGAGCAGCCCGTCTCTAGTTGGCAGATGCTTTTATAAACTTTTAAATCACAGTTAGCAGATCAAAACCTCACTGCTTCTCAGGAACCTTTGCATCGGTGGCTTGAAAATAACCTTTGCTTCCGTACCTGAGTGGGAGATGATCCCACGTAAGCGGTAACATGACAGAGCGGTGTCACACGCTGCCTCTCATCACCCCCGCTATGGCCTTCAGTGGCTACGTCGTCGTGTGTAAGATCATTTGTCGCTAGGCAGCCGGCATTTTTTTTTCCCCCGTTGTCATGACAGCAGATGTGTTAACTGTGACGTCAGACGTGCTGCCTCAGCTGCAAACATGATGGTTTGTCTGTACGTGTAAGCACAGGAAGACGGCTTCATTAAGCTCAGGGTCATTTTGCTGGGTTGACTGTAGTTACATTGGTATGAAACAAGCCGTTAGCAGCCTTTCAGTGAGTCCAGGTTCTAAACACTTCTTGATCTCGCGTTCATTTTCACTCTTTGGCTGTGTCGCACTTTCACTTACAGCTCAACACCTATCCAGAGATTTTCATCTCATAGTGCGAGCCTGTTATCAGGTTGTTTTACACCTTTGCCCTGTATGGTGTCACTTTTGGTTTTCATATATTGCCACATTTTAAAATGCCAGCCATCCTTATATTGTCTGAACATTTTACTGATGTGCGGACTAATAGAAATAGCCCAAAACTTTAACCATCTTTAAGGTTAAGAACAACTTTGTCTTTTCCTTTGATTGCCATTTTGGAGATCCAAGGTTTTGTTATGGCAGTGAAGATATTTGGGTTGTAACAGTTCACATAATTTATAATTTGGTTCATACATTTTTTTAATACAGCAGAAAGGAGAGCCCAAAAATCTGCCTTATATTAATACGTTGCTTTCATTTTTAGTTCATTAAAGCATTCAGCATTTTATAGTAATGCGCTGCCCACAAGCTAATATGTTAGTATGTCGTTTTGGGCTTTCTGTTTAATTTAGATTATACTTTGATTGTACAATAAAATCCATAACTTTTTTTGCTCCAGTCTGTTGAATGTTTTGATCGGTACATGTGCATTTTGTGCACGTGCTGTGAAAAAGTATTTGCCCCTTCCTTGTTTGTTCTATTTTTGCATACTTGTCACACTTAAATGTTTGAATCATCAGACTGCTTTTAATATTAGACAAAGATAACTCAAGTAAACACAGAATGCTGCTTTTAAATGATTATTTCATGTGTTGAAGGAAAAATGCTGTTCAGCCCTACCTGGGCCTGCGTGCAAAAGCACCTCTTGATTCTAAACATTACTTAAGCAGAACCAGTCTGGCAATGTGAAGCAGGCTAGAAGATCTCAAAAAGCTTACGATGCCACGTTCTAAAGAGATTCAAATACAGATGTGAAACAGTCATTGAAATCTGCCAGTCTGAAAAGGTTACAAAGCCATTACTAAGGCTCTGGGACTCCTGCAAACCACAGTGAGGGCCATTATCCACAAATGGAGCAAACTTGGAAAAGTGGTGAACCTTCCCAGGAGTGGCCGGCCTACCAAAATCTCATATTGACGACTCGTCCAGGAGGTCACGAAAGAACCCAGATAGACATTTGAAGAACTGCAGCCCTCATTTACCTCCGTTAAGGTCAGTGTACATGATTCCACCATAAGAAAGACACTGGTCACAAGTGGCATCCATGGGAGAGTTGCAGGATGCAAACCACTGCTTACCAAAAAGAATTCAAAGTCTCCACATTCCACCATAAAAACATCATACCAGCAAACATGGTGGTGGTAGTGTTATGGTCCGGGGCTGCTTTGCTTCTGCAGGACCTGGACTGCTCTCTGTCAGAAAATCCTGAAGGAGAATGTCCACTCGTCAATTCATGACCTAAAGCTCAGACGCGGTTGCGTTATGCAGCAGGACGATGATCTGAAACACACAAGCAAGTCCACCTCTGAATGGCTCAAAAGAAACAAAATTAAGGTTGTGGAGTGGCCGAGTCAAAGCCTGACTTGAATCCCATCGTGATGCTGTGGCAAGACCTTAAACGGGCAGTTCATGCTCGAAAACCATCTAATGTAGACGATTTAAAATAATTCAGTAAAGACGAGGGCCAGAATTCCTCCTAGGCGATGTAAAAGGCTCATCACAAGTTATCGCAAATGTTTGATTGCAGTTGTTACTGCCAAGCGTGGCACAACCAGTTATTAGGTTTAGGAGGCAATTATTTTTCACATGAGTGATGCAGGTTTTGAATAAATCTTTGTTTAATAAATGGAATGATCATTCAAAAGCTGCATGTTTTGTGTTTTATTCTTGTTGTCTTTATCTCATATTAAAATTTGTTGGATAATCTGAAATATTTAAATGTGACAAATTAGCAAAAGCAGAAGAAATCGGCTTAAGGGTGAATACTTTTCCCAGCACTGTATGTGTCAGACAGACGAAATCCTCCAATCATGTGTCAACCTAACCACTCCATAACACCGTGTGTTTGTGTTCTCTCTCATTACAGGGCTCCGGAGATCATCCTGGGCTTGCCTTTCTGTGAGGCCATAGACATGTGGTCACTAGGCTGCGTCATTGCTGAGCTGTTTCTGGGTTGGCCACTTTACCCCGGAGCACAGGAGTATGACCAGGTAATTCTCTAAGCCTTGGTAAAAGGTCATTTACAGAGATAGGTCACTGGTGGCCACTTACTGACGTTAGGCCGTGTGGCCTGCCTTTGAAATGCGTTTGTTTTGACTTGTTGCACAGGTAAGATTATGGCCTTTGTGTTGGCCTGTTTTCCCCCCTCAGTAGCAGAAACTCCTGCTGTTTAATACAGTTTGCTTGGTTTCTAAAACCTTTAAAACACGAAAACATTGTTGCTGTCCAGAGAAAAAAAATCTCCAAAATAAATTTACAGGAGAGGAACCTCCTGTAATATTCTTTACTTTCATTAAGTTAGTGTAAAGAGATTTTATTCCAAGTGTTTTTGGAGCATATTTTGTGGTGGTGTTGAATTTTTCACACCGTTTAAAGGACAGCTGCCATGTTCAAATGATGTAGAAAAGTAAAAATCGGAAAAATGGAGGTAGAGGTTTTTCTTTGGACAGCGACAATATGCTCATGGTGTGTCCTGAGAGTAGTTATGCAGGTAAATGGAATCAAGGCACTTGAGCAACAGCTTCAGTCAGGAATTGCTGTAACAGCGTCATGGCTGCCCCAGCCCAAGCTCTGAGTAACTGAGAGCGAGGTAAATGTGTACATTATGTATTTTCCTGGGTGTGCCCTTGAAGCGTTGCTGTTGTTTAAAGCTCTCTGTTGTTGCTATAGCAAAAAATAGCCAGACAGTTGTGTTTGCTCACTGGGGCTTTATGTGAACTGGTGTTAAGCTAAGTGCAGTGGTAGACAGATATAATAGGGTGGGCACTCGGTCTACCAAGCCATTGGGTCTTGTAGCCAAAATGAAGAATTTGTAGGCAGAATTATAGAAACCTGTTTATTGTATATACATTGTATTTACATGTATCATGCTTTTTGCACTCTAGTTTTTGTTTGAAACATAAGTAAAAAACAAAAATATTTGTGATGCATGCTCTCAAAACCATGTCATGCAAAGCTGACCAGGATGCCTTCTCTCTATTCACTCATTGAACATGGAGGAAAAGCTGGTTGTGGCTGTTTTTGCAGAGCTGTGCAGCACCCCACACAAACATTACCACAGTCTGAACGAGAAAAAGAAATTTATTTTTATCGTTATGTCAGTCAGAGCTGCCCGGTAGGAAGCACATCCTGCTTCTTTTTATAGACAGGTTGAAGATTTTTGTTATTCCATCCTGCTGACCCACCTTAAAGTATTGATCAATCTGCCCTGCTGGTTTATAATTGGGATCACTGAAGATCATTGTGCTGTAACTCTGTAGCTGTGCGTTAAAATATTCTAAAGCAGCTACTTCCAGTAAAGAATAAACGTGTGGTTTCTGCTTGTCGTTGAAACTGACAACATGCTTGACAGAATGTGACATCCTTCTCAAAATCACACCACTGTCAAAGTTTTCTTTCGCTTGACTCTGAATATATATATATATATATATATATATATATATATATATATATATATATATATATATATATATATATATTTGTCATTTTTCCATCATAGTTGTCTGATTTTATGTTAGCATTGACAGTAAAGTCATGTTTAAAAAAAAAAACTGCAGGCTACAGTGAAATGGTTGGTGGTGTTGTGACATGCATCGTTAGCTATAGCTTGGGTAACGTTGACAAAATCTGATTTGAGTGTATTCTGGTTGACCCTACAGGGTCTGGATCTGGTGGGTGGAAGCAGTTATTTTGTTATTAATTGTGGATGTTTGTAAATGTGAAAACTCAACTGGTCTGGTGGTTATTTAGAAGGAGTTGAGGACGGGTGCTCGAGGACTCAGTCAAGCATTTGAGGTGCCGGTATTCTAATACTATAATCACTGTTCAGGTATTAGTTTTGTTTCATCGTGGAAAGATGCTGAACACAATTCATTAAATTGTGTAGTGTTTGTTTTAACGATACAGTGCAGTGTGGAGAGTTATCTCTTATTGGTGATTAATTATGTATATTACACTTGCTCCTATAAAACCCAGTTGGCCTAACATGAGCATGTTGCCGAGAACATTAAAGCACGTGACCAAGTTAAGCATGTGACTGAGAAGACAGCGAGTGCATCTGAATCAGGCCTGGTTATATTACTAAAAAACTACTAACTAAAATACTAACTAAAAAAAAAATCTCGAACGTATTTTTAGTGGCCAAAATGTGAAATGGCAGTAAACAGTGTTGACCCTTGGCTGTGTCATTGCGGCATATGTACTCTTTTACTGCAAATTTTAGTGTTTTCCCTCCAGCTCTTCGTGATTTGTGGTGTGTTGGAGCAGGGAGGATACTGAACTGTGCATCGCTGGGAGACTCCTGGAAAGCCCTGCGTTAGCAGCAGCAGATCTGGTTGTGTGTGGTGTCACAGGGTCCCGGTCTGCTGACTGTAAAGCTTCAGACCGCCTCAGTGTGCCAGAGCTGGGTCCGATTCCACTCCACGCAGCAGAATGTATTTATAACAGAAAGCCACATCCACCAACCCCCCCTCCCACCATACACATACACGCTTTCCAGGCTGCATTATCAGCAGGTTCTCACTTCACTGCCTTCTCTCTGTGTTTGTGCAGCGTTGTGGCAACCCGATCACATCACTAAGTGCTTTATGATGCTACAAACATTGCTTGTTGAACACGGCAGTGTTGAGCCCCAGCACTTGTAAAATGAGAAGGGGGCGTCCTGGCATGGCGAATGAGAATAGCATCTCTGTTTCTCTCTCTCTCGGTCTCAGCCACAGACAGCTTTGTAGTGGCTTGCGCTTTCACTGTAAGAGGCCCTCTGACGCAGACTTTCTGGGAAGCGATGAGGCCTGCACCAGTAGCCGCTGTAATGCACCCAATCATCTAGCATGCTTTGACCATAAAGGTCAAGCGGCCGAAACCAAACAAAAAAACAGTGTGTTAGAAGGGTCCCGTTGATTTTAGTGCACAACTGTTTAAAAGTCACCATTTTCAATAATATAAAACAAATTTTGTTGCAGGTACATGTAGAAAATACTTCTATTATGACGCTACAACTCAACTAATATCGGCTAAGTAGGACGCTGTAATTGAAGAAATGTAAAATGTTTCCAGAATGATGCACAGAGCTGTCATGATTCCTGCATGACTGAGAAACAATAAAACATTGAGAATGAACAAACACAGATGCACCAATATTTTGGCCACTGTTAAGTTTTGCCTGATAATGGTCAAGAATAATGCTTTTGGTTGGAAATTTTGGCAAAAAACAAATATTATTCCACTAAGTGCAGACACATTGAAACAGTAGCAGCAGATAAACAGTGTGGAACTTTTTATAGTTTCTCCGAGGGACATTAGAGAAGTGATTTATAATCTCTGTTCATGCCGAGTCTCAGGAGGACATAAAACAACCAGAAACTTCTACATTACAAATTTGATCCCACTTAAAAACATGACGTTTTGTTGATGTGCGGAATACAGCAAAACAACGGAAGCAGAGAAAGTCCCTCATAGCACACCAACACCATCTGTGGCCACAGTTTTGAAATGACCAAAAAAATTCACGCACGGCAGCCAAAGTGCAGAGTATAACTAAAAATAATGGAATTCATTGCCTTAGTGACTCTTCTACTGTCCTGTTTTGTCACTGTAGCTTATGTACTGTAAAAATGTTAGTAAGCATCTTCTATGTAAGCAGTTTTTATTTGTCAGCTTTCGTTTTTCAACCGCTAGTTTCCTGAGCTCGGGTTTTGGTTTCAGCCAAGGAAGTTCATTTTCGGAATGACTAATTATATTATGATGCTAATATTCTACAACTTCCCAGGCGTCAACTGATTTTTAGAAAGAAATGTTAAATGTGTACAGAATGATTGATTACCATTGCTGTAGATGATTCCATAATGCCTGGAAGAGCTATAAAACATGAAATTGTTGTAGTAGTAGTAATAATAATAATAATAATAATAATAATAATAATAATAGTGATAATAAAAATAGTAATAATTAACACCTATTATACCTTGTATTTGAAACATGATGCAGCCTTGATGTTGATAACTTGGCAAGAAATGACTTAATAAATAATTACAGTATATTGTTTAGCATTTAACTTAAAATTGTGCTCATTAAAACTCTTAAAATACTTTCTGGCGTCTGGCTTGGTGTTTCAGTTTGCGCTGTATTATTATTGAATACAATGAGAGCAATTGTTATGACAGGTGAATCCAAACCCTTAGTTGAGCTAATCTTGGCTACCTGGTAAACATGGCACCAATGTGCCAATCCCTCACATAGGCAATGCCCTTGTAATACTTTCTTTGGTGTGTTGCAATCTATGGCCTTGTTAAAACTTGCCCTTAGCCACCAAGCAGGATGGGGTGTGGATTAAACATGTGAACACGTTTTAATTTTCTCGGTCCACTAAATGGTGGTTGGTTATTTTAAAAGGGGATCAATTCTTCAGCGTGTACCAACAAGCATAGACGCCATGGAGCAAAGTCTATGTTTGTTTATGGAGAAAAGAGACACAATGCAAAATATTATATATTCACATAATATTCATTCATTTTAGAATATGAGTAGATGTATTTAATAACAAAGTGGAACAAAGTACTTCAAAAACAGGGAGCTCTTCAGAACAGCTGGTCAGCTCTTTCTGCTTATCCAGAACAGGATGGACAAAAGTACAGCTTCCCGTCGTCTCTAAATCCACTTGAAACTGGTTGCTTTGTTTTTTTATACTATTTATTATCAGTTATGTTAGCAAGCAAGTAGCACATCGATTATTATTGACAATGAAATGTTGTTTTTAAATAAATACCCAACAATAAAAATGTACTTAACACAAACATTGGCTTTCAAAGATTCCTGGTTAATTTCTAAGAAAAATTAAGACTTCATATAAAACTAATATATAAACACTGCGACTATCAGGCTGTTTCTTACTGTAAATAAGTGCTAGGAGGATTTAAAATATACATTATTGTCAAGCAAACGACCCTAAAATTACTGCCAATTCGTTGAGAAACCAAAACATTACTTATTTTGAATCAGCTAGTTAAGTTTAATTGATTAATTGTGACAGCCTTAGGTTTTCTAATAAGTTTTAACTTAATTCCTTTAACACTTCTGACTCATTCAGTAATGTGGTAGTCTGTTTCTTCTCTTAGCTGAAGAGTGCGAATAGTATTGTCATCTGCTGTGGTCATGTTAGGAGCAGCAAGCATCTTGACTTGGCAAGTCAACAAAGCCTTTGGATCTGCTTCTCCTGCTGAGAGCTGAGCTCCCTTATAAGCTGCGTGCTCAAGAAGAGCATGTTCAGCCAGAGGGGGTCAGCGAGCAGATCAGCACATGGAGAACAAAAGCAGTAAATTTGTGCCTCATAATACAAAAAGTAGTTTCAACAGCATTTTGAAATGGAGTAGTTTAAATGGCATTTTGCAGTGCTGAGGGGTGGATTAGAGTGCCGATTTTTTATGGGTTCTTATTTCGATTCCACTGCCAAAGTTGTTTTTGCGGTGCCTGTGGAACAGTTAGTGCTTGGCCGAGAAGAACTGCATTTTTTTTCCAAAAAAGGAGCAAAGGAAACAAGCATGAAGCAAAAAAATAAATTGTGGTATATATCACTTCAGCCATCTTTTTCCCATGTGACGTCAAACGCGCTCACTTTGACAGTTTGGAGTTTTTCCATAGCTGCATGATGTTTGCTAGTAGCAAGATTTGCTTGGTGGTTCTGACATTCTGACATTTGATGGCCCATTCTGTGATTATGAATGTCTCCTGTTCTGGAACTGTAGATTAGGCCTGGATGATAAAATGATCTTAATGATCTTCGTATGGTAGAGATGTTTTCCTCAATAACGGTGATTAGTATAGGGTATTAAACTTTGATGAACAAACCTTGATGAATGTTTCCAGACTGCTGCTGCTGCTCGCTTTGAGGAATCGTGTTGCAAATAACAACGCAGTCAAGAAGTACAGGAAGAAACCTGAGAAAGAAATTGTACATAATGTAGTAAAAGAAATGACTGGAATCAATTTTTTTTGTTTGGTTTTTTTGATATTTCTACAAAACTTACAAAGGATATTAAGACAAACACTAAAAGTTCATAAGAGTGTGCTCAATGCAGCTCTCAGATACTCTCTGAAAGTCTTGATTATTTATTTAATAAACTGTTTGTTTTCTTATGTAAGCTATGGGTTATTTGTCATTTAGACTATAAATAACATGTAACATTTTACAATTTACTATTAATGATGCGAGATACACTTTGAAGTTCTTTCCATTAACCGGTTGTTCAGTTTCATCCATTCAGTGCCTGAATACAGCAACTCTAGCCAAACATTGTGGTTTTTTTTTAAATGTACTAGAAGTGATGGTGGAGGAAATAGCCAAAAAAAGAAATCTTCCTTGGTTCTTTTTTAAAAATTATATTTTGTGAAACTCATTAGAAGTTACAGTTTTAAGGACTTTCCTTATCAACTTCTACAGTCTAAAACTAATAAAGTTATAATGTTAAGAAAATTTTAAAGAACATTTATTTTTTTCAAGAATACTGCTATTTGTTTGTAGGAGAAAAAGTAAAGAAGTGAAGGAAAAAAAAGGCATTTTTTTTGAAGAAATGACTTTTTTTCCTTAAAAATGCATTTAAGACTTTCCTTTTTGAAGGGGATTCTGATGAATGTCTTCATAATTCAGTAGTTGTAACTTACTGACTCTGATTTCTTTACAGTGGTTGTTGTACTGCAGGGGTCACAATGTCTGCAACACAAATATAGCGATTTTATTTATTATCCAAAACCATCAGTAAACCTGCATGTCTTCTGAGTTTGTATGTAATGTTTATTATGGTAAAACTGTGGGAAATCTGAAAAAATAAGTTTTCTGTGGGAAGTACTTTGCTTCACAACAGCCTACAAGTATCTCTCCACAATGAATGGACTCCAAACTCTTGCAAAACAAAGGCTCAAACATCAAGTAGTGTATTTATAACCGTTTTTATTATAACTTTCTGAGGAAGCATTAAAGTCGGACATGTGGTTCTGACTTCTGTCACCGCCACTGGGAACAGTTTTGACTCAAGAATGAAAGTTTCTGTAGAATGGAACATTTCACATCAGACCACTCTGAATGACTTGCAACTGCAACCCTTTTATTATACAGAAATTTTGAAAAATCAGTGGATTCCCCTTTCAGACACTTGTGATTTTGGCTTGTTCCTTAGTCCAGTACCAGCAGGATTTATCACGATAAGATTTTTACATTTCTTTTTTTCTTGTGCACAATGAATAGATAATGAAGTGGTAACCTTGAAACACTGTATTGTGTGTCATACTCTAAAAGTAGCACACTGCTCCTGGAAGTTCATCAGGACAGACTTTAAACAAACACACGTACCCGGATGCAGAGCGTTTTGTCACCCTGAGAAAATCTGTAGTTATGTTTGTTAAGCTCTGGGTTTATGATGTAGATACACTTGTCACAACAAAATGCCTGTCTGAGGACTTCATCAGATATTTTGGCTCACAGCACTCTTACCCCACACACACACACACACACACACACACACACACACACACACACACACACCCTAGCCAGTAGCGCCAACTGGAGATCAGCTCCTGTTGCAATACAGATGGAGACTTTGCGTCACCTCCTGTTGCAATACAGAGGTACAATAGAAATGCTGAACTCTACTACACCATAGCTGCTTTTTGCACATTGTTCAGAAAGTATTTTGTGTGAAATGAAAGACATCTTCCTGGCATGGGCACTGAAATAATACAGATAAACACTTCTTTAGCTGTGTCATGTCATTCAGAGACCATGTTTATTACATGACTGCACACTGACTAACAGAATAATTGTATACATATCAGTACTCTGTCAGCAGGTACTCCTAACCGGCAATAAATAATAAGAAAAAGTATACTGATCTTAGATCAGCGTGAATCAGACCTAAGCAACTTAAGAGTCCGGAACAATTTTTGCATGCACAGCTTATTTTCTAAGCATAGTCTTGAGCTGCATTTAAAGTGGGGAAACAAGTTTCGAGTACCAACTTGTAATACGTATCGTTTAGATTTACATTGATATATTTACCAGACGTTCTTATTTAAAGGGCCTTGCTCTGGTAGGCAAATGTAGCATTAGGAGTGTAGCCCAAAACGTGTGAACACATCCATTTGACTTATTCAGTAATCAATATATCACAGCTTGTTTGAGTGCAGCCTCTGATCTGTATCTGTTTTCCTTTTCTAGATCCGTTACATTTCTCAGACTCAAGGGCTGCCTGGAGAGCAGCTGTTAAATGTGGGGACGAAAACGTCTCGCTTCTTCTGCAAGGAGTCTGACTCACCGTATGCAGCTTGGAGACTGAAGGCAAGTGCCAGCACCTTTTTACAGCTTCCTGGCAGAGGTGTCGTGCAGGTTTAAGGGTACTTTCATGGGCCAGTGAATAAATTAATGTTAAATTCTCTGAGACATATTCGAAACTAATGGCAGTGACTGTACTACGTAGTCATTATGAAGTTTTGATACTGTTTTGTTGGCAACATTGTTAGCGTATGAGACAAATGACTTAAGAAAAAAGCTGAACTTGGATTCCCATTTAAAATTTCTGTTCTACTATTAATGGTGCGACATTTACATTCAGGTGCCTGTACAGGTGTGTCAGAATGTAACTGCTGCTCTGTTAAAGGTGAAACAGGGGGACACACACCCACAACGTAAAACATGATGATTGGACCAATAGAAATGTTCCAAAATCTCTTTGAATGAAACCTCTTCACCTTAACTCACATTAAAAGTAACAAGCATCTTCTCCTTCTCTTGTAAATTTTCCCTCTGGACAGTGATGATATACACACATATTTTTGGCCATACTGCCCACTACTAGTCTCTTTCCAGTCCTGGACTTTTACAAGGCCTTTAATGAAGAATTACCAACAGCAGGACAACTTAATCCAGGACTAGACTCCACCAGGGTCAGAAACAGCACTGTAGTGTAGCTGAGTTTAGCTGTATTGCTGCTGTAATGATTTTCGGCTCACCCTGTCGTCCTGTATTGGGTTTCCACAGACGACTGAGGAGCATGAGGCGGAGACTGGAATGAAATCGAAGGAGGCCAGGAAGTACATCTTCAGCTGTCTGAACGACATTGGCCACGTAAGATATTGCTGGAACAGCAGCCATTGATCTCAGCACATGTATTCCTTCACACATCAGCACTGAGGCAAAGATCATGCTGCTTTCCATCTATATTTATGCCGTTCTCTATGTGATCCATGGAACAGATTGTTTGCAGCCAGTGGAAAAGACTCTGTTCCCTGTTTCACAGTCATTTATCTTCAAAGTAGATTTTTGACAGTACTTTCTTTAATGGAAAAAGTAGTGTCGGTAACGGTTATTTTTGCTGTGTGTTTTTCAGGTGAACCTGGTGCTGAATATGGAAGGCTGTGACCAGCTTGCGGAGAAGGCGGACAGACGGGAGTTTGTAGATCTCCTGAAGACGATGTTGCTCATCGATGCCGAACAGCGCATCAGCCCCTCAGATGCACTCAACCACCCTTTTGTCACTATGCAGCATTTACTGGACTTCCCCCATAGCAACCAGTACGCACACTACCCTCTACCCACTTGAGCAAACTTAACTACTTAAAGGGGTGCTCTGGCTGAAATGAAACCTGTAGCTATCACTGCATTCGTTGTGAACTTGCCTGCTCACCTTCTACAGTGGTGCCTTTATAGTGCAGAAAGTGAGATTTTCTCATTCAGAAACTATAAAAACCACCTTTCGGATGAAAGTAACTTGAAGGTGGGCTGAACTTTTGGAAACACTACAAGCACTTTGGTAGAATACTCCAGGGCAGGCTGTTTGAAATGCCCCCCTCCAACTATCTGGCTAATGCAAAAGAAAGCCAGATAGGTAACAGTAATGCTAGGAAGCTGAGCATTGCATTTGTCCTCATTAGCTGTATATGAAAAAGGGGAATTTTCAGTGGATAAATGACGTGTTGTGCACACAGCATGCTGGGTATTGTAGTGAGTGAACATTGATGGAGGAAAACACAAAAGACACGAAATTGTGAATTGTCAAACCGTTGAGTCTGAGGCATAGCACAACAAATAACACATTAAATGCTAATTTTGTGCCAGAATACCCCTTTAACTTGTGTACTAGTTTCATAACAGTTACTAAATAATTAATAGAAGTTCCTAAATAATAAGCCTTGGGTTCAACAGGTTAAAGTAGTTCAGGAGTAAGAAGCCTTTGCGAAGCCTTTGTCTCAGTAAGCCCCTAGCATAGCTAGCTGCACATGTAGTAATGTAGCCTTGAAATAAATCAAATATCCGTACAAATCTTATATGAGGCTTCTTTTCTAAACATGATTCAGGAATAGAAATTAAGTTACCCAATTTTCTTTCCAGCTGGGTGAATTTAGACATTGTCCATTCATTCTCCCACAGCGTGCAGTCGTGTTTCCACATCATGGACGTGTGTCACTCAAGGGGCAGCACGTATGACACGGTCAACCGTAACAAGCCTCCACCCCCACTTCTGAAGCCCGTCACCCTTCCCAGCGCCCCCAACATCACCGTCGCCTTCAACAAAATACCACCCATGCACTCGCAGGTAGCACAACTGTCCACAGCCACTTTCAGCACACAGTGGAATACAGATTTCTTAAAAGGGCAGAGTTTCTGTGCTTGAAAAGGAAACTTTCTAACAAATAAGACTTTATAGAACACTTTATAATGCTGCTGTCATTTACAGAGTAAGCGGTTTTTATTGTCGCTCTTGTTATTGTTCCTTTTTGGCTTTTAAAATGGTCTATTCTGTCATCATCTCAACTTCATAAAAATTTACTTTAATAGAGGAAGCAAGTTAATCAGATAATTTAAATAACATTTAAATACCATTTGTGGCATTTATTTACCCTCTTCACATGTGAGTAAAATACACTTAAGTTTTTGTGTAGTATAAGCTTGGCTGATTTAGACTCCTCTGATCCAGTCCAAATGTGTATACTGAAGATGTGTTCTGCAGAGGTTCACAACAGAGATGGGAATCTCTGGGCACTTCATGGTTCAATTAGATTTTGATTCAGGGTGCCAAGATGCAATTATAAAACAATTCTTGACGCAGTTCAGTTTTTGATTAATGCAGCCTACATTATGAATTCTGTATTTGTCATTAACAAGTAGTGATTGCTTAGTTAAATATAGGATGGAGTGTAGAAAATAGGGAGTTCTGGTTAAGGTGTCTTGCTTATGTAAGTGTTTTAATAAATCCTTAATATTAATATTGTGATGACACTCCAGGACTGTGGTCACTTCCGTTCTGCTTTTCTGTATGCCTGTGGAGTGATTGGTTGGAGACTCCTATTGCCAGTGTAATCTAACCTCCCCATCTCTATCTCTGCCTGTGTTTCCACCTATTTTAGGCTCTGCCTCCACCTGCTCCACCCGTGGTGCACCCTGGCATTCCCCTTCAGACAGGAAGTGCTCAGTTCGGCTGCACTGACTCTTTTCAACAAGCACTCATCCTTTGCCCCCCAACCATTCAAGGTACTGGTCCCTAATATGTTCCACATGAAAATACACACATTTGTTCTCCCAAAGTATGGTTAACATGGTGTGGTGAGTACTTCTGTATCTAACAAGCGTTCTCGTTGTGTAGGAATTGGGTCGAACCCAAGCCAACCCTCTGGGCTATTCTGTCCGGATGGAGAGCACTCTGCCACTGGTGACCCAGGCCCCAGCCATCCAGCCCTTACCCCTAAGACCTGGAGTCATAGCACAAGTATGGCAGCCTCTGTAACACCTGTCATGCTGTCCACTGAGTCAGCAACTCCAGTAGCTCCTAACATATGAGTATCAATCTCCTATAGGATGTAAACACCAAAATAACAGGAAAGGGCAAATGTGTACAATGTTTTGCATGTAAAGATGAGTATTTTCGTGCAAAAAAAGATATATTGCAGTATATTCTTTTAAATTTTGGAATATGCTGACAGTTCACATATTTCATTTTCATAACTCTCTTGGGTAAGGCCAGTCATTTTTTCAAAAATCCGTTTTTCTGATTCCTCATGATCCTGTGTTCTTTGCTTTTGCAGCAGCCGTGGTCCAATAGGACTCCACAGATCCTGGTCCCAGCGTGGCAGCAAGTGGCTCCTCCCCCCACCACCCTGCCTTCGGACACTGTCGCTGGCCCTCAGAGGAGAGGGGACTGGGGGTAAGACGCTTCAGCTCAGCCACCAGTGTATAGCAAAGCAGATTTACAGTGTTGAACAGCAGGGCTGTCCTACTTTGCTGCATCTGCTTTATCTGTTTCTCCTGTCTGCTCTGTGTTGAACTACACAATATTGTCTCAGAGGATCGCTTTCCCCCTTTGAGCGTTTGCTCTTTTTAAGGTTTCTTTCCCTCTCAGTGAGTTTTTTCTTTCCATTGCCCACCATTTGGCTTTCTCAGTAGGGGTCTGGAGCTCTGTAAAGATCTTTGTAAAGCTGCCCTGTGTTATAAAAATATAATGTAACATAAAATGTAATATATAAAATGTAACACCGCACAGAGTTTCCCCCAGGAAACTAATTAGGCCATGATGAGGTAGGTGGTTGTTGGGGAGGGGTGGCCCAACTACACTACACAATGAAGTGTTTTCTCTCCTGTTTCCCTACCTATTCAACTCTGCTAAGTACTAAACCTCTGTTAAATCAAACTATGTACTACAGTGGCTCTTAAGGACTGCACGTGAACTGCAGAAACTAGAAACGTGGAGTAGAAAATTGAAAGGTTCATGGTATGTTTACTTGACAGATCCCATTTAGAACCATTTCTGGTTTGGCAAGAACTCACATGTACACGATTTTCTCTTTAACCCCAATACAAAAAATGGGCAAATGACTGAAGCTATGCAGTACATACACATAAGCTTGTTTAACATTACTTAACTAGACATGGTATGTGATGATTTAGGCATACAGTTGGCACGATGCTAACAGGTGGTTATAAATTGCCATTACTTGTTAATTATGTTAGTCTTCGTGGCTTTAGTATAAAACTTAAAAGCAACCTTCAGACAACAAAAATCGCATTACACAAAACTGGGTAAATTTAATATTTGACAAAACCATAATCATAAGACAGGCTTGAGCTGAACTGAAAGATACTCTATTGAGAGACTTTAACACAAACTTGGCATACTTTGTGCAGAACCCCTGTGGTTCTAATGGCGTGCTCTGATGTTTTTCTTTGTCTTTCTTGTCTTATCTGTAGGAAAGTGCGCCCACACAGCAGTCATTACGGTTCCATGATTCCCCAACCCCTCATGGCCAACCAGATGGCCGTGTCAGCGCACCAGCCCATAAACATAGGCATCGCTCATGTAGTGTGGCCCCAGACTGCAGCCAGCAAGTGCAGCAAGCCCAGTCAAAACAGGTCAGCCTCCTGGTTTGATCTTTCTTTAACACTTGTTGAATGTGCCTTGTGTTCATACATTACTGTTAATGGTTTCACCGTACACATTACATACATACATCCATTGAATGGGTGTTACGGTGAGCATACTTTAAGGTTCAGCACGATTTTCAATTCTTGAGATTCAGTTAAATTTTTGATATTTTGCGTGTTAAGTGTCTTGACGCTACCGAGCTCAGATAAATACAAGTTCTCAAACTGCACTTTTGCAGTGCCCACCCTCTAACAAAATAAACCCCAAAAATCACAACCTCTAGAATTTATAATTGATTTATAAAAAGCACAGTCATTCCTTGCCACTTTATTCTGATAGGCTGCACTTCACTGTAGTGCAGTTTATAGGCAGCCGAGTTTTGATCATTGACAGTGGTTTCTACAAAAGATGATAAATGCAGTTTTACATTCCAATATGGAGTTTGCATGTTTTCCTCGTGTCTGCGTGGGTTTCTTCCCGGTGCTCCGGTTTCATGCCACAGTCCAAAGACATGCACTCAGGCCAAATGGAGATGCCACTATGTGTGTGTGTGTGTGTGTGTGTGTGTGTCTGTGAATGTATATGTCTGTGTATCTGCCTTGAGATGGACTGATGACCTGTCCAGGGTGTTTCCTGCCTTCTGCCCAGTGAGCGCTGGGATAGGCTCCAGCAGCCCCCACGACCCAGAAGGATAACTAGCGTAGATGCATTTCGACACGCAATTAAATTAAATTCCATTTTAAAATTGATTTTTCAACACTTATTGGAATTATCACACCTCTATTTTCTGATATTACCATTATGATGGCCGTGATCTAATATGAAATAATCTGATCTAAGAAAAGGATTGTGTATTTGTTTTACAGGAGTGTGAATGTTTCACATTACACAGACACACAGCCCTCAGTGTGTCTCTCACCAAAGACTCGAGACAGGCTGCGGAACCCGGAGGTGGGGCTTAACCCTCGGGGCAGGGAGGTAGTATCTCGGGTGGAGCAGGAGCCTGAGCATTCAGAGGAGTCTGAGGAAGTGAGCTGCTGTAAGGCAGGACAGCACTCTGACAAGCAGCTGACAGTAGCTAGTCAGCAGCGGGAATCCATTGTTATCGGTGAATCACCAAGCCCAGCAGTCAGCGTCATCAGCATAAGCAGTGACACAGATGAAGAGGAGGAGGCAACGCAGAGGTGTTCACTCAACACGTGAGTTAAACAAAGACCACAAAACATGAGACCATGTTTTTAAGTGGGATGGACCATATTTCCCTCGTATTTTGTACTACAAGTAATCTGAAACTATATTCAGTTATCAGGTTTGGTGAAACTCACTTAAGTTCTTTCGGTCAATATTTTTGTCTGACATTAAACTTGAGCACAAAACCTGTTCGTGCATATTAGCACTTTGCTTCATATTTATTTGTGACTGTGTGTTTGCAGGTGCAAGGGCAGTACAGAGTGTGAGGCATGTAAGGGGTCTTTGAATATGGAGCGTGTGTGTTCTCTCAGCAGCCCCGATAGCAGCCTAAGCACCAGCTCCTCAGCCTCGGCCCAGTCCAGTCCTTCACCCTGCAAGAGACCAAACAGGTAAAACAAATACTGTTCTGAGCATCTCAGCCTATAAGAGAGACACACAAACTCTGACGTGCTTTGCTTGTAAATATTGTACTTATGTTTTCCCATAAGTTCTTCGTATATGAATAAACTGAAAGAAACTGTAGCAGTAACTGTAGAGGTAATTGTACTGTAACTGCACTGTAACCCTATCTTTTGTACATGCAGCATGTCTGAGGATGATGGTCACGAGAGCGGCTGTGACACCATTGATGGTTCTCCAGCGTCAGATACATCTCTTGGGCGGCACAATAGCCCTTTCCCTGAGAGACGGTTCATGAACAACAACCAGAACCAGGAGGCCCGAGTACGGCGAAGTGAGCCACAAACAGAGCTCAGCAAGCCAGCCGTGAGGACTATGGTGGTGCCGCCATTGAGAGTGGTCACCAATAACAACTATCAGCAACACCTCCACCAGCATCTCAGTGGAGAGCAGCACCACACCAGCACAGGTACCCTCCCCTAAAACACTCACCACAATAAAACAGGGGCCTGCCCCACAAACACTCATCCCCCTTGCAAAGGAACCTCCCCACAAACGTTCAGCATCACAGTTACTCTCCTCTCAATCACCAGTACAAGTACCCTACCATTACACACACTAAGGTACTTTATCCATAAGCACTCACTAGTACCATATACTTCACCATCAAAGCCTTTAGGATGGGATAAACACTCACAAGCACAAGTATTCTCCTAAATGCACAGGTACCCTCCTCATAAACAGACACTAGCAAAAGTACCCTACCAATAAACACATTAGCACCTGGTACCTTAATCATAAACACTCTCCAGCACTGTTGGTACCCTCCCCATAAACACTCAGTCGCACAAGTACCTTCCCCTTAAACACTCACTTGCACAGGTACCCCTGCCCATAAATGCTCTGTAGAAAAGGTACCTTTCCCTTAAACAGTCACTAGCACAGGTACCCTGCCCATAAAAGCTCAAGTATTTGGCCTATAAACACTTGGTAGCACAGATATCATGCCCATAAATGCTTTGGTATTGGTTCCCTTTCCATAAACGCTCAGTATCACAGGTAAATAAATACATAAATAAATAAACAAACAAATATGTTACTTGCAGTGGTTCTCTACCTACAAACATTCCAACAGTATAGTTGTTCTGCCTCCTAATACCATTTTAATACAGGTACCTTCCCTACACTCAGTCGCCTCATCTTCCAAGGGTCAGAGAGTCCATGTGTTAAGGAGAGGAGAGAAGACGACTGCAGACCAGATTATTCCAGTGATTTATGGTTTAGCATGCTTTTTTTGTAAATTTGCAAAAAGAGTAGCACTATTTATGGCTTAAGAAATGTTTTAAAGTTCGATTCGAAGCTATTATACAGTTGTCACAGTTAGCTTAAAGAAGTTGCCCAGAAATCTCTCACATCATGCTGTATTCTACTGTGAAGTACAGCTGCTGTGCGTGCGAGAGTGCGTATCTGGTCACAGCTCAAATGTCTGCTTTGCAGGTCATAGGGGAGAGGCAGGAAGTTACCACAGAGGCTATCACAGGTGATTTTGGGTATTGCGTGCACTGTGACCCCTGTGTCTTGTGCGCTGCATCCCAGCATTGAGTGAAAAGCCTTTGGGTTTGTGCTCCTCACTTCTCATCTCTTCCTCTCGTATCTCCCAGCTCTTTGTCCCCTGTCTCTCTCCGTTCAGCTCCATCTGTGTGCCGGTTGCCCTTTCTGAAATGCATCCCCCCCTCCAAGAGCAGAGCTCTCCTGTTCTTTACACTCGGCCATGCATGCTATCAGACAAACACTGTTTGTGCGTCAAACTCTGCTGACGCTCTCTCATGGTTTGTGACCTGGGCAGCTATAGTGAGCTCTTTGGGCTGGGGAGTCCATGAAAAGTGTCATTTTTCGACTGAGCCCTGCTATTTTAGGTGCCACACAGGCCTTGTTCCTAAAATAATGGTGTACATTTGTTTTAGCAGTTGTGGTGTTTTTTTCCATAGTTCTAGTTCAAGCAATATTCTGTCATTTTTGATCACGAACACTGTCAAAGTTGGGGGTTTGACGTCTGAAATAACATGCTTCAAAAACTGGAAATGGTGTGAAAGAATCGGAAAATATATTCAAAATGATGGTGTATTTCTTTAAAGTTGTCAGGGGTTCAGTTGTCCTGTGACCAGTTCACATCATTTTTTCCCCTCGTTTTCTCCTTTTAGTGTTTTTACTCATCATTTTCCCTCACTTAGTCACCTTGTTTTTTTGTCTCCCTCCTCTGCTCTTTCACCTTCTGTCTTATCTTTCTCTCTCTCTCTCTCACTCTTGCTGTCTCTCTTGATTGCCTTTTTCTATCGCTCTGTCTCCTTTTCTTTTTCTCTCTCTTGCTTTCTTTCTCGATCTTTCTCTGTTGCTCCTGTTTTCTTGGTCTTCTCTCTCTCTCTCTCTCTCTCTCTCTCTCTCTCTCTCCCCCTCAGTCTTAGAGTCATCGTGCCAGTCTCGCGGGCGTTGCGGCCCCGGACGGCTGAGCCTGCACTCCACGCCTACTCTGCCCCGCCAGCAGAAGATCACCTCTACATTCCAGCAGCAGCCACTGGGCTTTGGCCAGGTTTGTTCTTCTCCTCCTTCTGTCTCTCTCTCAATTTCTCCCTCCCAACATATTAGTTTCTCTCCTTTTCTCTCTCCCCCTTACAGTCTCCCTCTCTCTCTCTCTCTCTCTCTCTCTCTCTCTCTCACACACATTCATTTACTCTGTTTGTGTTTCTGCCAGTATTTCTGTTTGCACTTGTTTTGTTCTCGTTTGACTGAATTTTTTTTCGTCCTCACTCTCTTTCTCAGGTCCAGCACTACGGCTCCTGTCCCAAGGAGTGGAACGGCAACTACACTCAGCCGCCGCGCCGTCCGCAGGCCTTCATCCCCCCAACAGTTCACGGCCACCCCTTCCCCCCTCTGCAGCCACACGGCAGCCCCACCCACTCGGCCGGACCGCCGCCCCCCCCCACCCGCCCGCTCTGCTATCTTACCCTCCCTCCGGCCCACCCGTGGCCCACCTGCTTCCCTCGCCGTGCCCGGCTCCCCCCCCAGCCCCCCCGCCCCGTCCTGCAGCCCGCCTACAGCCTGGTGCCTCAGGGCCTCAGCGTGGGCATCGATCCGCGCCTGTTGCCGTCACCCACCCTGCACCCGCCCGCACACTTCAAGGCCCTGTTCCCGCCGCATTCGTACGTAGCCTCACCCGCTTACGCAGGCTTCCCCCTCAGCCCCACCAAACTGCCCCAGTACCCCTACATCTGAGCTGCTGGAGCCCGCGGAGCACGCGCAGCCGCCACTGATGCATACAAACACACGCACTGCTCCCATACCTTACCGCTCTGATGCTTTTTTCCCTAAAGAATCATGTAGTATAATGTCAAAGGTGGAGATAATCGAAGCTGAGCTTTACAAATATCATGGAGGAAAAAAGAACGAATGAGTGTATGAGATGATAAAAAGAACTCACTTTTCATGTTTTTTGCACATTTGATATTAAGAGAAAAAAATGAATTAACCCCCAAGTCATTAGATCCTGTATAGAGGGTCATCCCCTCTCTATAGCTATTTTTCTATATTGCCTTCTATCGTGTGCTAGACACATTGACTTTCTGGTGAAGCCATCCCAGTCTCCAGTGGTAGGGCCCACACTTGTGTGTGCACACGGCTCCCCCTTGTGGTGTACTGGTGTTATGCGTCTGTATTTTTGTAGTAGGCTCGTGCCCCCCTCTTCCTTCCACCCCAGTGTTAACTCTGTGGTCCCATGTTTAATAAGGTTACTACGCTCTGCATGTCTCTGCATGGGGGAAATGTTCAATTCAAGGAAGGGAAAGACACTCTTTCTCTGTACGCTAAGAGTGTTGCATTGTAACCTGATTCCACACACACACAAAAGAAAGTGCCTTAAAAAGAAATCCATGTCTTTGCAGGGTGTGACGCCCTTGCATACACATGAATTGAACTGGACTGCAGCACTTGAAGTTTCAAATTGTTCTTTGTGATTTATACATTAGGGCTGTCCTTTTGACGGAATTCATTTTTTGGTGGTGTTGTGCGTTAGTCGGGTTACGCGATCTGTGTCGTGCATTCTTTATATCGACCCTTGTTGCGGAGTGGCTTAGAAGTAAGAAGGCATTGTGTTGTGTTCTTGAAATAATAACCACATCTCATCTAGATTGTCCAGATTATTGACGACAGAGTCTCTATTCCTGGTTTCTACTGTCCAAAGGCTGTAACCTGGACGCCCTCAAGCATCTCTTCGATGTCCTCCTCCACCACAGCTTTTTCTTCATCTCTGTTTGGCCTGTGATGGACATTGCGACAAAATCTGACCTCACAGTTTGCCTTAAAGGCAGCCCACGGATGCTTTCCACTGGCGTTATACTTCAAACAGCCCTATGTGTATGGTAATCACCGATTTATGCGTTAGTTTGATGGATTAGAGCGATGCATCGTTGACTTCAGTGTCTATTTTGCGGTAGAGGTAGCAGAATTTATTTTCAGAGGATGGCACGATTTTGCTGTAGCAGAGGCTCTGTCTCTCTGAATGAAATATGTATGGAAAGAAAGTTTGATTAATGTCATATTTGATAATCATTTGATATTCTTTTACTTAATACTAACAGTATTTACACTGTTTAACACAACTGCAATACAATCCATAGTTTCTGGGTGTATTCTTTGCTTTTTTTTCACTATGCTAATTTCCGTGTTTTGTTTTTTTGTTTGTTTTTTTAAAGAATTAGATGTGTTTTTGGTATTGGCATTAACCTGCAGATAGCTCTTTAAATCCGTTTACGTGGTTTCATGTTAGCTGGTGCAGATATTTTTCAGTATTCAGTGTCCAACTATCGATCTGTCATTGCTGGAGTATTTAGTGCTTTCCAAGGTGTGAGTTGGTTGTGTGCAATTTTATCCCCTCTCTTCATCTAAGCATGTGACAAGATTCATTTCCCTCCTTTGTATTGTTACCGTTTGATTGATGAGCTTTTTGATGCTGGCTGTTTTAATTTGATACATTCCGTCAGGGAGAAAATGACATTGTTTTCTGTGTGCTTCTTGTGTTTTTATTCAGATAAGTTTTTTTTCCATTAGGTGCATTATTTCTTTGCTATCATTATAACGATGCTTTTGCTACACCAAAGATAGTAATTGATTTCTTAAGCGAAGTAGCTACTGTTCTAGCATAGACCTCGAGCATATTGTAGTTGGGGGTGTATTAAACACAAAAAAATTACTATATATAAAGGTTGAGGTTGATGTTTAGCTTTTTTTTTTGGCAAGTCTAATGATTGGTTTCATTTATTCTTGAATGTACCATAGATAAGCTGCTATTCACTGATTGCCACTTCATAATAGCTGTGAGGTTAAAGTGATTAACTTGTTCTTAGCCTTCTTATTTTTTTTTGTATGTGTGTCTGATGACCTTAAGATAGACGTGAGGTTTCTCTTTTGGTTTTACTCTACTGACCGGCATCGAAAGCATTTTAATGCCTATGTATATTTTGCTTTTCTGTTTGAAGTGTCATTGTAACTACTGTATTGCAAGTTATGGAAGTTTGGTTTGTTGTGTTTTGGGGTGCGTTCTCTCTCTCTTTTTCCTATTTTCTTTTGTTTTTCTTTCGCATCTGTGAATTATACGTATTGTTATCGTAATCTTGGGGCTCATCATTGCATATTAAATGCATATTGGTGTATATCTGAGTACGTTTTATATTAGCATTTCATTAAGGCATAGCTTGCAGGATAGATTTAACTTTTTTGGATTTGTGGCAGTTAAAGATCGGCTCGTGATCACATAAGCGTACCATTATATAAAAGCCTACGTTGTTTTTGATTGTGTTGATTCGGTGAGTTGAGGACGTGTCGTTTTTGGGCTAGCTCCCTTGCTTTTCATCTTGTTATGATAAATTGCAGTGCTTTTGGTTGTGAATTAATGCATTTTTTTTTCATAGAAATCAATGTTTATGGATTGTTTTACCTAAGATGAGGAAAGACATGAGGCAAAAGGAAAGAAGACAACACGTAAATGTTGATCTCTCATTATGAACGAATTCCTAAATGAAAATGACTGTTGGGTGGTAAGCAAAGCTGAAAAAAAAGGCCACCTTCTCCCTGTTTTTGATTCACACGTTATCCTGCTCTGTAGAGAGAGCAGCGCTAAACTAGTGCCTTTCAAACGTGCTTCAAACCTTTATGTCATATACACGTACACATCTCTCTCTCTTTCATGCCAAATTACACCACAGTTGGCCACTTAAGAGATTTTTGAGTGTAATTTCGGGATTCAACACAGCAGTTAGTGTTACCACCTCGTCCCTCGTTGGAATGGCTTGTGTGTAGGGCTGGATATAGAAACCCAATACTTTTATAATACCGACTCAGTTACTTTAATTGTACTGACTCTTTCAGTACCAAACTGTTAAAAACCTAAGTAGTCAGTCTTAAGGTCTGTTCACACGGACAAAAAAAGCAAATTCAAACCGACTGTGCAGCTATGTAATATTTTTCATTGGAGCCACGTCTGTTTTCTTTGTTGTATTAGTATGCGATTAAAAATGAGGCTGACCAATCAAAGCTTTGTTGTCATGGTTATGCTCCAAACAAACGTGCATCACTATGGCAACAAAACAGCTCATCTTGGTTGTGGTACAATATAGTCTCAAGCAAAAGTTTGGGCACCCCTGCTCAAATGATGTGTTTTGTTAATTTTCTAAGTGTGAATAAGTAAACACGTCCTCTACAGAGAACACACTTCTGCACATTTTAATGCACAATTACTGTTTATTTAAATTTGACATAATTGGGGGGGGGGGGTGTGTGGTCTCTGCAAAAGTAATGGCACATTTCATATGTTGTGTTTACTACTTCAAATATGTTAAACTCGTTAAAATTAATGTTAAAGTAAAATAAATTAAACGTCATTTGACCAGGAGCGCCCAAACTATTGCATACGACTGTATACGGCAGATCACACTGGAAAGGCTGGCAGAGAGTAACCTAGTACTGCAGCCATATAAGTTAATTAAGCCAGATAAATTCAGCATCGCTACTACGAGTGGGAGCTGTTTTTCCCTCCTTTTCCTTCTGGTTTCCACATTCTTTTAAACACAAAACGCACATTGGTGTGTGAAGGTTCCACTAAGATAAAAATTGCGTGGGTTTTGTCTTCTTGGTGTGAACAGGCCTTTAGCACCTGTAAGCGCAAATAAGCATGATTGTTTCATAAACCACTTAAACCACTGATTGGCTGTCTAAATTACATTCCGTATGCATGCTATTAAGGTCGGTGCTTCTTGATTAGTCTGTAGTCCACTGTGGTCAATAAATACCCACTTCCAGAACCTCAACCCTGAATACTCCTTTCTGGTTTGAGCCACGTTCAGCTTGGATTTGTAGTTAAAACAAAAAAGGTATAGAAAAAAGCATCATTCAAGTATCGGTAATGAAGACAAAGTATTAGTATTGAAATGTTTTAGCGATACCCAGCCCTGCGTGTGCGTGTATTTGACACTTTTTGGACCTCTCTTTAGTGTTGTAAAATGTTATGCACTGGCTACCAGTAGTGAGGTGCGTGTGGTGTGGCGGGGGGTGTGTGCTTTATTTCTGTCTTTGGTAGTGTTTCAGCACTTGGCCTTTACGAGCCAAACATGCAATGCAGTCCCTCCCCACATGATGTCTTCACATGATATATATATATATATATATTTTTTTTTCCTTGGTTTTGATTTTTAAATGAAAGTGGAAAAATAACCTTATGTTTCTGATTGGTTGTTTGCTTGTTTGTTTATTTTTCCTTAATGGGTAATATCTTAACAACAACAGATGAAATCCAATAATGAAATGCTATCAGGGATCTTTACCGTTACGCTAACATGGTCCTTTCTCATATTTGGGAAGCTTTACATACATACACTGTGATTGTAAACATCAGCCCGCAGTTTGCCACCTCGTCCTACCACCTTTAAAGGCAAAGAACCGAACAGCACCCTTTCTCTTCAACGGGACGAAAAGTTTCATACCATTGTGCAAGTTAATTGCTTTAATGTACTTTGTGCAGTTGCAGATTTGGTCCAAAAATGTGGCCGTGGTGCCACAAAATCACTCATTTCACTTTTATACTTGTAGATAAAGACATTATTAAGCATGTAGCACTAGAGACAAGTACAAAAATTAGTACATGGATATATTGTACAGTTGTATGCATTGCATCAGATTAATAAATCTTTTAAGTCTTTTGACAAGTTCTACCAAACCCAACTGGAGATAAAAAAAAAAATGAAATTCAGTAAATATATATTGTGGGCAAGCATAGAAGAATTTAACAAACTAAAACTGTAAATTGTCAAGACTCCCATTATACCAAACAATTTATCTCATCTAAGTTGGTTGTGGCTTGTTTTCATTTGTGTGTTTTTTTTGTCTTTGCTTTGTTTTTTTCTTTTAGAGATTTGTGTACAGAAATTCAGGGTCTTCTGTCATATGTGCTACTGTATAACAGTTCTTCCCCTCTTGTTTGGGTTTGATTGCTTTAGAACTATTAACTTTTTTCCCCTGCAGATTATATTTTAGTAGAAGTCTCACTGCAAGTTATCAGATAATATACTTAGACTTCAGAGCAAATGGACTTGATTTACTAAATCTGAACTGTTACTGTTTTAATATTTGTAGATTTTGTGGCTTTCTAATTTGTTTGCTTATGATTTTTATGCTACATTAGTTTGCATTGTAGCCATTGCACTGTGCAATATTCAGTATATGAGGACTGGGAAACTTGTATTGTTCTTTTGTTTTTCCTTTCCTTTTTTTTCCTTTTTTTTTAAAGGTGTAATGTCTCTCACAGTTTTTCGGTCGTTATTTCTCTCTAGTTCTCAGTGATTTATATGTGACCAAGCCTTATGTACTTTGTCACGAAAAGCGGGTTTTCCTGGTGACTATTTGGTGAGTGTCAAATTAAAGAAATTATGGTGTATTGTCGAAATTCACTTTGAATTAAAATATATATTGCTGCAGGCACATGCTGTCTACGTGCTTTATTGTATAATATTATATAATTATTATATAAATATATAATTATATATTATATATCATTATTGTAAATCTTAAAAAGTTTGACTTGATTGACAAATGCTTTGCTCTGCCATTATATTTGTTTGTCGGTGACAAAACAGCGCCATCGTGTGGATGAAGCTGGAAGCACACCTCTCTCCTTGTGACACATATTGGCTTTTCCGGTTGTTATGCAATCGCCCTGATTATTTTAGGCCTTTCTGTGCTCGAGCATCTCTCCCCCTCTTAAAGGTGGCTTACATGTGTCTTAAACACTCTATTATCCGTCTTAAACCTGTTTTAAGCCCTCTGTTTCTTCATGGGATACGGCCAGAACTGGAGCCTCCATTCACAAGGTCACTAATAATAAAATGAACCAGGCTAAACTACCGTTATATTTATTTAGTCTACATGAAGAAATGACCAAAATGAATGACCACGACCTCTAAACGTGCCTCAAATCCCCGACTGTGAACACTGGAGTTGGCTTCCTCGCCAGTTTCTTATTCGAATTTTCCGTTCCACCTTAAATGGCGCGCAGTTAGTTCCATCTGCGAGTTTGGTGACATGTAAGCTGCACCATTTAAGTTGGAACGGAAAATTCTCATAGAAAACCTACTTCAGCTTTTTACAGCCAGGGGTAAGAGGTGAGCAGACTACGCTCAGGGGCGCCTGAATGCGACTGCCCGCACCATTTAAGGTGGAACGGATAATTCTAATAGGAAGCCAGCTTCAGCCTCCACTCTCGTTGAGTCTGAACCCAAGTTTGGGGACGAAATAAAACAACTCTGCCTCCATCCTTTTCTGAATCCCGTACATGCTGTTCATTTCATTTCTACGTGTCGTTACCGCTCACATCCAGCAGGGGGCGTTGTTGCGCATGCGCTTCGTTATCTCCAGCTCTCCTCCTCTCGGATACGTGCCGCTTTTTCGTAACGAACGCGTTTTTTTTCTCCCCTTCTCCTTTTATTTCACATTGATGTCATTTGGAGAGAGAGATGGGTTCGCGCGCCTCTCTTTCACCCTCGAGCTGAGCTTTTGTTTCCTTTCTTTAAATCATTTTTTTTTCTATTGGAAATCAGCCTGAGATGATCGGCACCGTCCTGACGGCTCTGGCTTTGAGGCGCGCGTTGCGCACGGATGCGGCTGTGCGCGCTGCAGACTCGCTGCCTTAAAGTTTGGATGCTGCCCGTGGGAGAAGAGGAGCTCGAGCCCAAAACAGACCGGCAAGGCTCGGTCAGATGCCTCTTTCGGCACGTTTAGAGCCGCTGCCCTGTGTGTCCAGTGCGTCCAGATGGCCTCGAGAAACGCGCGTAAAGGTTGCTCCGTGCTGGGAGGCGGCGGGGCTGCGGATCGCTGCCCGGAACGGAGGGGCCACTCGGCGGCTGCCAGCTGCGGGAGAGCCGCGGGACTGAACGGAGGATGGAGCGCGCGCCTGCTGGCCGCCGGGACCGTGCTGCTCGTGCTGCTGCGGCCCGCCGTCGCCACACACGGTGAGCATCTTGGCTCTCGCTGGCAACCTGTTTGAATCCATTGTTTGGCCGCCCGGGCTTTTTTACGACGTCCTGCGTTTTTGCATTTTTAGTGTAGCTTAGTGAGGGTCTGGGGGGGCTTCTTGCGCCCCCCTTCTCACCCACACACACACAAAGTCAGCTTCTTTTTCGCCAGCGTGTTATTGGAATTTTTCCGTTCGACCTTAAATGGTGCAGCAGTTACATGTAATTCCAAAAGCTTGCTGGCGAATTGAAAGCCAACTTCAGCCTTGTGTTTTAGTGAAAGGTGGTCAGCCTTGTGTTTTAGTAAAGGGTGGTCAGCCTTGTATCACGTTAATTGACCATATGTGAGATTTAATAATACAGCATAAGGCCAGTTATATTTAGTTACCCTCATGTTTATGATGGGGGGCGGTGAACGCGCGTGCGTTTTGTGAATGGCACATTGACGCTGTGTCGGTCTATCTTGAACAAAAGCCCCTCGACCACAGCACAAACAAGGCCTTTGCAGGTGAATCGCGTTAAAGGACGCGCGGACTCACAGCATGTGACGTTTGTTAGGGGCACGAAAGTGGCGCAGTGCTGTGCGCAAGTCTGTGCGCAAGTCTCGCTGCCCCTTCTGTTGTCGTACGCGTGATTAAAGGCACCGAGGGGACATTTTATTTTGCATTTAGTCACAGCCAGTGATGTGTGTGTGGCGGTGTGAGTCAGTTAATGTGAGGCAGCAGCAGCACAGTGCAGCAGCAGAAGCCTCTGCTTATCTACACAGGGTTGTTTACATCACAGGCCTGAAGAGAATTTCATCAGACATCATCAGATTTCTCCTAATTCACATATTTACACTACAGGGAGAGAATCTGGGTAGCCTGCGGTTTTATAATCCTCACCTAAGCTACATTTGCCTGTGAGCAGACTGGCAGTGTGCACATTTTAGGTGTTCTAATAGACCTCATTCAGATCATTGTGGGCTGTTTAAGGGGGTGTCCCACTGATTTAAAAAACAATTCTACATAATTCAGTTGTTAAGGTGTTAACAAAGCCATTCAGAGTCATTTAATCTGAAATGCTCCATTGTGGTGATAGGAACCAGACGTCTCGAGCCTCTGAAACCATGAAACGAAGGGGAATACATTGTTTTTGGCCTAAAAAGACCTAAAATGTGTGTTTTTTAAAAGCAGTTCATGGTCAGAGGTGCGCACAAGTCACTGCAAGGCAAAATAGTCCCCCAAAAATGCTTATTTTTTCAGTTATACCACATTTTACCATCATCAACACTTAAGACACATGTAGGTTCACTGGTGGTTTTGGATAGTAAATGAAATGGCTAAATTTGTAGACATGGTGACCCCTGGTTCCCATCACCACCACTGTGAATAAATTATCTTCAGTCAGTTTATCAGCAATGAACCTTTTCACAGCAAACTGATCTGAATGAGTTTTACATCTCAGCAATGTAATTATGCAGAGATTTTGAAAAATTGGTGGAATTGCCCTTCGAGCATTTTTTTAAAGCTGTCAGATGTGTTAGAGCATGAAAAAACATTCCTATGAACCATGACAGCTCTAAATGCATTATAAACTCTTATAAATGCATTAATCTATTTGCTTATCCACAGCAAAGTATGTGTATCACAAATGTATGGTCTTATGTTCAGTATGAATAATAATTATTATTATTATAATAATAATTGTAGCTCATTGTGGTTCATTTTAGTTGCAAAAACCCAAAATATGTTTATTAGCGATGCCAAAACATAGTTTTTAAACTAGTGGAATAAAGGCGCTATCACAAATTAATGTATTCATGTCCACGTTTTGTTTTGGTTGTATGTTCTTGGGGAAAAAAAAAATCAATGTTTAATATATTCTTTGCTCTGGGGTGGCAGTTGTAAAAGCATAATCTAAGTCAACACTGTAGTTATGACTTGCATACATAATAATGTAATGACACACATTATATAATTATGTATGCGTTCATAGCGGTGTGTATCAGATACACTGGCAAGGATATGTGGAGAAACCTGCCTGTGCTGTGGAGTAGAAGAACCTTTTGTGATAACGGTGTTCATCATGATACTGTCAATGATGGAGTGTTCAAGCATAGAACATGCAGTACAGATACATAGATGTGTGTTCAAAAGTATCCAGACAACCCATCTTAATGGTGAATTCAGCTATGTATACTCTACACTGCACTGATTAATAGAATGGGATGCTCTGGAATAGCCGCACATAAGCCTAAGGTCACCAGACCCAATGGCAAGCATGGTCTGGAGGGGCCAGCATTGGGCTGTGGAGCAGTGGACCTGTATTCTCTGCAGTGATGGAGCTCCATCCAGTACCTTTGGGATAAGTTGAAGTGATCCAGAACTGATCATCCAACATCAGTACCTGACTTCACTGATGCTCAATCAAATCCTCACAGCAATGTTCCAACATCTAATGTTTAATCTAAAGCCTTCACGGAAGAGTAGAGTTTGTTGCTTGATTTCAGAAGAAATGCTGGATGAGAAGGTGTCTACAAACTTTTAGACATGTTGTCTTTCTGCATACATAGTTTGCTGTGCAAAAGTCAGCAACCCCCCTTCATTTATGTAATTCTCAGCCAAAACAGCAATTGAGTAAAGTAAATTATTTTTAGGAGGTATTTTTGAGGAGATTAGATATGATAATCCACTTGCATTAGGAAGGAGAAAGTCAAAGGAAAAGTGAAAAATATGGAGGAAAAAATGATTTAAAAAAATGCGGCTCCTAACAACCACCTGGAAGACCTGCTGGACACCAAAACTGCCCCCATCAGATAAATGGCACTTTCATCTTTGAGAGAGAGGAGAAAATCAAGCTGCTTCAGATCTGAAAACATCCACAGGTGTTTCTGTCCATCCTTCCACTGTGAGAAGACGACTCAGCGCTGTGGGTCTGAAAGGATGTGTAGCTGTCAAGAAGAACCTCACTGAGAAAAGGAGACGGACACATCAAACGAATAAGCTGAACAATGGACTGACCACCCCAGAGTCCAGACCTCAACATCACTGAATGTGTTTGATTTGTTGGATCGTGTGAGGCAGAAAACGTAACCAACTTCTAAGACTGAGTTTTGGAGGAGTGGAGAAACTGAAAGCGAGTTTCCTGAAAAGAATGGAAGCTGTAATAAAGGTAAACAGTGGACACACTAAATAATGAAAAATTGATATAACATTTAGTTGTTGTTATTTGTTTTTTTTCCGATGCTAAAAAATAAATAACTTAAGCATAATAACTGTTTTGACTGTAAATTATATGAATAAAGAGCGATCTCTGACTTTTGCACAGTACTGTATGCTGAGGAATTTAGGGTTGACAGGAATTTAATGTTGACAGGCATTATGCAGGCTGTTAATGCCACGTCCAGGTTCAGTAACGTCCTTCTGCTCATCTTTCTTCAAGCTAGCTGTGTGTGAGGCCTGTGTGTGTGTCTTCCTGGAGACGCGGCCGTTCGTTTTCTTCAATGCCTCCATAGTGATGCTTCAGCGAGTCAACAGGAGCCTACTGTGCTGTGTTGCCATGGGAACTGATCTGCCTAACATTTTTTTCCTCCTTCTAGAGAGGAGCGGAGTGAGTGTATTATCAGAATGACAATGATGAACTGCACTGTTTGATTTTATTTTTTTTTCCCCTCTGAACGCCGCTGTGTGTTTTGGATGAGCCGGTGATGGTGATGAGGTTCAGAGTAGCCAAATATAAAAGAAATTAATGCAAGTTTTATTTGATCTCTTTAAAGGGACATTTTGTCACTCATCAGCTTCATGTAATATTCAGCATGACCAGGGCCAGCGTTTCATACAGTTTTACTGCTGTGTGGTCATTGTGATGAGCTGAGTATGAGTTAGGGCTGGACAGTATGGAGAAAATGATATTGTGATAATATGACAGGAAACATTAATATGTCCTTGTGACCATGGTTACAAGCACTGCTGAGTATTTTGTTGTAGTATTTAAAAGTTTAGAACCACTGTATATAATAAATCACAATATCCACTATAAATCACTTTATTATGGCGTTAATATAAAAGCAATTTTGTTGCAAATCACTGCTGTTGGAGACAAAATCTCCAAAAAGGTAACTTTACAGGAGAAGCAAAACATTCTTAACTTTTAATGGAAGTAAATGGAGTAAGTTTTTTTTACAGGTAATTTTGGGCCGTTTCTGTTGGTCCATACATCATGAACTTTTAACATGACATTAAGAGCAACTGCCGTTTTCAAACTAGGTCAAAAAATGAAAAATGAAGAAAATTGAGAGAAACCGCAGCAAAATACAGTTAAATGCTAAAGTGTTGTAGAATTTCTTAATGAAAATAAATGAACATGCTTCTGCACATTTTAATGAACGTTTACTGCTACTGTTTATTTGGTGAATTTACCATATTGGAAAAAAAGACATAAAATGTCGCCTGTGCAAAAGTTATGGCACATTTGATATGTTATACTTTATGTTAAATCCAGCAAACGGAAATCGTGCACTAACATTTGCAGTAACATGTCAGATTTAATAGGATGTGTTAACTTATTTAAACTTCAGCTTTAACTTCTGTTCAAACTTTTGCTACAACTGTGCATGTAAAATGTTGCCATTGGAGCAAAACCTCATATCTCCAAAATGATAACTTTACAGAAAGAACAAAACATTCTTAATTTGGAAAGAAACTTAATGTAACAAGGTTTTTCTAAGAAAAAAATAAAAAGAACAAAAATGGAGATGCAAGGCTTTTGTGCAACAGTTGTAATAATGTATGATTCTCATTATTCTCATTTGAGGCTACTGTTCTGTAGGTTTCAAACACTTTGAAGGAAGCTGTTAAAATTAAGAAATATTTGATGATGAACGAAGCTGTCAGTGATCCCATAATAACTGAGAAAGCTGTAGAACTTAAGATAAAATTAATATGCAGAATGTTTCATATTGGAAAAGCAGTGACCAAATCTCACTGATCAAATACCTATTCATAATAATTATATGT